AAGGTTAATGACCTACTTTCAACAATGGTGATAGTCAGTAGCCACACTACTAGTACCCTACTCTGTGGAAAGACGTAAAACTTTTAAGCCTTTCTATGAAATAGAATAATAGAACTCCTGTGATAAGTGTTGATGAAACATTACGAGTAGTTTGAGAATGTTATTAAATAATTCACGTTCAGATTAACATTTGGTAGTGACACTCAAAATCATGTTCACATTCTTCAATGTTTACAGGTATTTTGAATATTTAAAAATTAAATAGCTATTTTATAAATATATCTAATGTTTCTTTATTGAAAGTATTTCTACAATACCAATGTTGTCTACCCTTCAAATATTTCAATCTCTGTTTCTTTTTTTTAAGAACTTGTCTTCTGCCCACTTTGAGTTTAGACCTGTTACCATGAGACGCTATTTGACAGTTAAGTTTACAGAAAAAACAGATCATAAGAAACATGAGTAAGAGTCAAATAAGAGTGTCAAACATCTGACCCTATTATTTTTAATAAAACATAACATGTGAATCAGTAGTGTATACATTAAGCTGAATATGTAGGGTTATATTAAATTCCCTATATTTGACAGACTCGTAGTAGTAGTAATAAAAAAAAAACTGTATAGCTTAGAATATTACTTTTTTAATGCTTATTGTAGGTTCAACTGTCCCATGGATAATGCATGGGCTCTCATTGTTTAATAATAACTTTACCTCTTAGTGTTAATTCCAGCTTTACAAACCAAAACTTAAAACTTTTAAACAAATTTTCTAGACCTGTATATAAAGAAATATGTACGTGTGGTGTTAATTTTCTTTCCATTTGCAGTGTATAAGCAGCATTATAAAATACTTACTAATGCCAAGTTGTACATGTAAAAAACTTGTTAAAACTATAGAAGACTTTACATTTTACTTGATTGATAATTAGTAATACACCAAAAACTAAAACCAATAATTTTTAAAAATTAAAAATCGTAAATTTCAATACTTTTGAACCCTTCAAACAAACCATGATCTTGGTTGCCCCCTGGTGGCAATTACAAACAGCAGAAATTACAGACTGATTTTAACATTAACATTTTATAACTTTAGAGCATTACATAAACTGTGACAACAAATAATAAAAGCCAACAAACCTTGACCAATATCTTAAAATACCAAAGTCAATTATAATTGTAAAATCTGTTCATTGCAAAAAGAAACCTCAAATATATTAAGTTACAAATATTTTATCAAAAATACACAATAATAATTACGTGAAAACAAATTTCGACATAAAACATCAAAAAGTACATAAAACTTTACAAATATATCAAACAGGAGAGAAAACAAAACTTACTCTACACCTGGTCCCATTTCCTGGATTGTCTCCGTTTTTCGAATACGTGCAGGAGCGGTAGTCGCAGCCCCCGATGTTGACAAGTGGTGCACGGCAGTACCAATATGGATAACAATGCTCATATTATAACACCGTAAGATCTACGCTCACACAAATCTTGATGGTTAGAAGTGTTTTTTACACAGAGTATGCACTGTTTCCAAATAGTTCTTTGGATGAATCCTGTCACTTTTATAAAATTCATTATCCTGAATATTTACAAACACAAGTAATGATAGGAGACGACACTCTCCATTTCTGAAAAACAAAGAAAAGCACAAATATAATAGTGTTTAAATAAAAGATCTTCGTTTATTCTAACAACAAAGTCAAGTCCCAGTATATAAGATCATAACCTCACTACAGAATGAGTTTATCCTAATCACAGAATCAAACCTCAGTGTATCAGGTTATAACCTCACTACAGAATGATTTTATCCTAATCACAGAATTAAACCTCAGTGTATCAGGTTATAACCTCACTAAACCTTTATTCTAACAGCAAAACCAAGCTTGGAAATTAGATTTTTACCTCATTAAAAACTTTATCAGTAAAAACCAAACTTGTATTTTAGAATATAACGTCACTAAAAACTTCTAACAGCAAAACCAAGCTTGGAGATTAAATTATAACCTCAACACTACATGACAAACAAACAAATATATATATATATATATATATATAATGAAGCTGTTGACCAGAAATATTAACATCCTCTAACACATACATGTAACATTTCTTGTTAAAGAATCATCAATACAACAGGGTTAAATAGCTACTTTTGTCACCAGTGAGAACACATGAATAATAACATCACACAGTTTTACATCACCTATGGAAACATATCACCAATCAAATTACAAATATATTAAAAATCTTAGTTTACAACCACAGATATCTGATATTTCCTAAATGCTATTAATAAAACATAAAACAACAAAGTCAAGAAGTTACATACACGGTGAAAGTATACACACAACTGGACAAACCTAAGACATTACTTTGTCTACTAAAGTCATATTTTAATTCCCAAAAAATTCTAATAAATATAAATAAAACAACGAGAGCCAAAATTTTAATTATGTACTAGCCTCAGTTTCTCATATTAGGTTACTATAAGTTACTTTTTTTTTTAGGAAATCTTAACCCTATCCTTATCAGGCAGGTTTTTATAATTATATATATATTAATGAAACAATAGTTTGTGACATGTTTTTATATTTCTGCTCAAAATATGCGAGAAATAAATATATTATTTTAATAAAACTTTAGTAAAGAATAGGGATGCTTTTTTTCTCCAGTGTTTGATACATAATTCAGAATTAATCCATCAAAGATTAGCACAAGCAGCATTTCCAACGCCATCTAGTGATAATTGATTGTAATACATGATAACATGTGAATATATTTGGGCAAATAGTTCAAGATACAGAGAGAAATAATTTGTTTTTAACAAACTCAGAGGAAACATGTAGAGTGTCCGAGTTATCTCGGGCCAATCACAGAAGGGGTTAATTAACAAAAAAAAAAAAAAAGGAACAGAGATATAATTTCAAATTTCTTAGATTAGGTTACTAAAACAGGAGTTTTATTTCAAGTTTCATGTGCATATGATTGCTGTTTGGCTGTAAATGCTGGCTTATCATGCCACAGACAACATCATTGTGGTCCTCACAGGATGAAATTAAAACTATCATCAAATTAAACAAAATGACTGTTTTCAAAACAAATTTATCACATTTGAAATATTCACTGGTTCCATATATGACTACAGTTGTTTATAAATTGTTAACAAAAATTAAACATTACAAATATATTACTATCCTCTTTTTTTTCTTTAGAAAAAATTCATAAAAATTCTCTATATTTTCAACTGCTGTAATAATAGTACATGAACTACCTAGGTACAGGAGGTGACATGAACTACCTAGGTACAGGATGTGACATGAACTACCTAGGTACAGGAGGTGACATGAACTACCTAGGTACAGGAGGTGACATGAACTACCTAGGTACAGGAGGTGACATGAACTACGTAGGTAAAGGAGGTGACATGAACTACCTAGGTAAAGGAGGTGACATGAACTACCTAGGTAAAGGAGGTGACATGAACT